ATGTAATTACCCAATATCACGGAAAGCAAGCGCATTCGATGGGGCAACGATCATCTTTTTTTTCCTTCTTTGTCTTTGTACTACCTGATTTTCGGCCAAACTACCTGAAACTGACCCTGAATCTACCTGAAATGGGAATTTTGAGGTAGGCAGCCCTGGGTAGGGGACAGCACAGATGGTGAGTTCGCCAAGAACCCTTTCTTTCTGATCGCCAACGTTGAGCTGTCAACATAGCTAGCGCAAGAGAAAGAAACCTGATTCGATTTTTGATCAAGTAAGACCTAGAGGTCACGTTAAACAAAATCATCACCAAGGGAGATTATAAAAAGAAATAAACAGAATGCCAAACTCATCGACTAGGCCTACTTTATTATTTCCCTTGAATATATTACTGGATCCCACCTGGTATAACGCACATTTCGCACCGGTCCCTTCCCTCTCGTTATAACAGGATTCCACTCTATTGCTTTTGGTTTTTTAACCACACCTCCCTCCATACTTCTCCTCCTCTCCTGTCACTTTGATGTTACATCAATGTGCCATGTGTTTGTCTGTTGCAGCACAGTAAGAGGGATGGTGGGGGAAGTTGCTTGGGTTGTTTTTATTTCATTAAATAGAAGCCATTGTTATCGAGGCATACAGTCTTGGGTTAGTCAGTTATTTAGTCGGCAGTTGAGCACCACGATGGGGGGTGAAATGAAGTTTCCTTTTTTGTGATTCAGGATTCAGTGTTGTGTTACTCTAGATTCAGACAGAGGAAAGAATAGGATTCTTCTTCATCTTTTGATGCTGATTAAAAAGGTCATGTGATTTCTCCATTTTCACAGTGCTTCCACCAGCTGAAGCTGAAAAGTAAGGAAAATTCTGCCGGGGGTCTGGGAGGCCCCCAGCAGGGTCCAGGGACAGCGTCCCGGGTGGGGGTTCAGGGGGCGAAGCCCCCGAAGAAATTGAAATTTACTGCATTTAGAGGGTTGAAAATGGCATTTGGGAGCCTGTTTGAAGAGATTGCCTAGACTAGAGCCCATAACATTTCACCAACACTTTGTCTTGTTTGATTTCTTCACCAACATATCTTTCCATTTCTGGCAATGTTTAAAAGCAGGTTCCCCTTTCATTGCTACTATAATTCAATTAATTTGACGTCGCACCATTGATAGCAGGCAATTCTGGGAATAATGAATAGATGTACCTTCACAATACAGTTGCGCAGCGTATACCCAATTTTTTTCCTCAATTTTCACGTCTGAATTTCGCCTGTCACAACCTCAGAACACCACTTCGAATTATTTTTTATTTTACCTTCGGCTGGATCGGGCCCATCGCCCGACTCGATCGTCTGAAACTGAAAACAAACACGTTTGTTTTTGAGGCGACCGAGTCGGGCGATCAGCCGATCGCATCCGTAGTCTCGTAGTGGGAACCCGCGTATCAGCATATTATTATTTCTTTCATCGCGGCCCTTATTGCGTTCACGTGCCCTAGAATCTTCGCATTGATTATTTCTCTAGATCTAGATCTAGGCAAATTTGCAACAAAAGTTTCTTTCTGACGGTAATTTTTTTGTCTAAGTTCACAAGTCAATTTACTTGATCAACGCGCAGATTTTCCAGCCGCGGAAACAATCCGAAGATAGACAGACGGAATGAGTGAATGACAGAAAGAAGAAAGGAGGAAATTGGCACAAAAGGTTTTCCAGATTTTGATCCATCTGCAGGTAAAAAATGTACTGCCGACCAACCCGCAATGAATTCAAGGGACATAGCGGAATAATGGCCGATTGCAGGAAAAGCGAAAATTGGCTGGTTTCAATAACTTTAACTTGTTGCCATGAGAATTGCCGTAAATATCCGAAACTACGCGACCCCACAAAGTGCTAAAGTATAACTTTAGCTGTTTGGGAAATTGAAATGAGAACTTGAAATGCTCGTTAAGGATTGCAAAAACATATTTACGGATTGGGTCGGAACTACTTTTTGCTCCCTAAATTTAGCTGACTTGGGAACTCTCTCCGGAACTACTTCTGGACAAATCTGTTATTCTGTAACTGTAATAGGAGGACTTCCGTAACGAGCGACCACTATATTATGAGACAGAGCAGAATTGAGGGCTAGGGGTAGGGGCAAGTCTAGGGGTAGGGGTAGGGGTATTGAGGGCTAGGGGTAGGGGCAGGTCTAGGGGTAG